TTTAGGGTTTTGGTTTAGGGTGTAGGGTTTAGGGTAGGCAGCTGGGGGATCTATTTTCCTTTATTGGCTTAATGGGATCCTGATTCAGAGGGGTTTGGGGTTTAGGGGTTCTATTGTCGGGTAAATAAATATAAATATAAATATAAATATAAATATAAATATAAATATAAATAAATAAATATATATATATATATATATTGCCATTAGGGTCAACACCTCGACCTCGAACTCGCTTTAGGGTGTAGCAATGCATCCCTCAACCCCCGCAACCCGGAACCGCTCCAAACTTCCTACCCGTTAACCCAAACATGTCGCAACCTGAACTGCTTTAATCTGAACACCGTCTCAAATCGAGTAGGCCCTACATCCTGAATGGTAGTACACCCCAGCCTCTAAACCGAAACCTTCACAACTCCAGCCGGCCTATGTATGTATGTATGTATGTATGTATGTATGTATGTATGTATGCATGCATACATATATATATATATATTAATAAATAAATAAATAAATAAATAAATATATATATATATGCATATATATATATATATATACACATATACATATATATATATATATGTATTTGCATGACCACTGTTTTTGTCTGAGCGTAGTTTTCGCCATGACTGCATGGATTGCAATGGCCATCGTCATTGTTGTCTGTGGCCATGAGGCCCCTGCTAAACCCTAAACCCTCTACTGCCGCTGTAAACTAGGGTTTAGGGTTTAGGGTTTAGGGTAAACCCCCATTCCATTCCTGAGCCTTCCTATTGATCCCGAGCTCGACGAGGTGCAAAGCACGCCGAACTATGTCCCCCCAACGTACGCGACGGACTGGTTGGTCACCAGGTTGCAAAAGTGCTTGTGTTTGGTTTAGGGTTTTGGGGTTTATGGGGTTATGGGGGAGCCCCGAGCCCAAGCACCCCAAATCAGGATCGACGCATGGTGTTGTTTCTAGAGACACACTATGTACTGCAAAATAATATCCTAAACGCTGGAACGCTAAAACCCTAAAGAACCAATCGACAAAACACCTAAAAGCATAAACCAAAACATCCGAAAGCCCTCAATATGCTAGAGCCTTAAAGCTCCTTCGGCAAAGCCACCTAAACCCTAAACCCTAAAACCCTAAATCCTAAAACCCTAAACCCCTAAACCCTAAACCAAACCCTAAACCTTAAACCTTAAACCCTAAACCCTATACCAAACCCTAAAACCGAAACCCCAAACCCTAAACCCTATACTAAACCCTCAACCCTAAACCCCTAAGCCTTCAAGAGAGCTCAGGGAAGACCGAAGGGGCTCACGGAAGAGCAGGTGAAGCAACTCCAGGCCATGGGGGCTCCTGTAAAAAGTTCCCTAAAGGGGGACTTTTAGGGCTTAGGGTTTAAGCTTGAGGGTTTAAATATAGGGCTTAGGATTTAGGAGTAAAATAAGGATTCCAAGTTTAAGTTTTCGAAACCCTAAACCCTAAACCCAGTATGACCAGTTATGTCGGCTCCTATGGTAGCAGTCTTCGATGGCTAGTCAAGCTGGCTTCATGTAGGAATCTTTCGCAGAAGCGCTTCCTCACGAGGGGGCCTTCTCATATTTGGGGGTCCCGAAGTCGGAGATGTGATCATGCAGTATGATCTATCTGTCTAACTATCTACCCACCCATCTATCTATCTGTCTATCTATCTATCTATCTATCTATCTATCTATCCATGCATCTATTTACCTATCTATCTACCTGTCTATCTATCGGTCCAAATCAGCAAAGTCATAAAACGCAAGCCTGAAGTATGTATGTGTGTATACATACACATACACGTGCATCTAAGACTCACATGATCAGTTGATTTGGAGGTGTTTTGGTCTCCGGACGCGTCCTGCACATGTCTAGCACCATGTACTGCGCACAAGGCCGTGAGGGATTTGTCTCTGGGGTTCGGTCCCAAGGGGTTCAAAAAACCCTAAACCCTAAACCCTAAAAGGAATTTTATGTATCTCCCAAGGGATTCAAAATAAAACGATAGGATGAAACCTCTGGAAGCCCTGCACCGTAAACCTGGAACCCAAAACTGCTGAAGCCCAAACCCTAAAATAGGAGCCAAAATAATTACCCATACTCTTTTGGGGGCTCCCTATTATAGTTATACCATAAAGGAGCCCAAAACCCTATTCTAATTATTCAGGCCCCAACATTAAACCCTGAACTCTGAACCCAAAGCCGTAGCTCTGGCTCTAGCCGTCTCTCCACGGGAGGGCACGAAGCTCACCAACGTGGCGCCACCACCGCTAGTGGTGCAGGCCTTTCCCATTCAGCCCGGGGTGTTGCCTGTGATACCGCACGGTTTAGGGTTTAAGGTTTAGGGTTCAGGATATGATCTAGGTTTCATGCTCGTAGCAGAACTAAAGCTTTGCACGGCAGTGCTAGAGCATGTGATGATAGTGCAGTCGATGATGATGATGTTGCAGGTGCTGATAACAAAGATGATGATGCGCATGATGACGATGCTTTGCCAAGGAGTGACGAGGCTGGTGATGGCGGTTACAGTCATGATGAAGATGATGACCATGATCATGGTGGCATGTGTGCAGCTGATGATGGTGACAGTGCTCTTAATGACCACGGCCGCGAGACTGAGGCTGCTGATAATACTTAATGACGGTCATGACGACTGGGATCAGAAAAAATTATAACGGGTCTAATTGTGATGGTGCCATTTTGCGAGTGGCGTGGGCAGAGGTTTTGCCAGTGATGAAGATGTTTGCGCCCTGTGGCCGGTTTCTTCCTGCTGATGCACGTGCTTCCTCCTCTTGCCGCTTGTTCGACGACGACTACTTAGGCTTTTGCCAGTGCTACCACTCCAGCACTAACTGCTGCTGCTGCTAGTGCTGCTGGTGCTACTACTACTACTCCTGCTGCTACTACTACTACTACTACTACTACTGCTCCTGCTGCTACTACTACTACTACTACTACTACTACTACTACTATACTACTACTACTACTACTACTACTACTAGTA